CAGCACGCCGCCCACGTGTGAGCCCTGCTCGTGAGCTTCACCTCACCGGCCTTTCGGCGCGGGCTGGTGGGGCGGTGAGCAGCTAGCAGCCGCAAGGTGCCCTGCAGTTTCCGAGGCACGTCTAGAAACGTGTCAGTGAAACGTCCCACACGGAGCTAGGCAGAGCAGGTACTGTCTCCGCTCCACAGACAAGAACACTGAGGCCCCAGTCCCACGGCTAGGAAGTGGCCGAGTCCAGACACCTCTGCCAGCCCAGCCTGTGTCACGCCACTGAGGGGCCTCTGGGAGCTCAGGCCGACTCCAGTGAGGACCCGGAGTCTGCCGTCCCCCAATCCTGTATGCTTTCAGCTCTGGGTGTGAAGGGGACTTGAAGCTGGCTCAAGTGGGGGAAAGATCAAAAGAAGAATCTCCAGATTCCCTTCCCTGGGGACAGAGACACCCAAACACACCTGGGGAAGGGTCAGAGAAGGGGCTCCGAACAGAGCGGACACAGAGAGCCACTGGCCTCTTAAACTTTGTTTTCCTCCTCCCTCCACCCTCAGACTGAAAACCAACGCCCGGCCCTGGCGTTGGGAGTGGGAGGAAGGGATAGTCTGTCCTAGGGAGGGAGTGCCATCCACTCAGCGAAGGGACCATGGTCAGGGAGCTGCGGTTCCATGCCCTGGCTCTAATATACACAGGCTAGGTCAGTTGCTTCGCCTCTCCAGCCTCAGTTTCTTCCTCTGCAAAATGGAGACAGCCCACACTTCCGTCCCAGTTTGCTGTAAATACCCAGACTATGTGATTGGAGGACTTAGCACAGTGCCTGGCACCCAGTGGGCCCTGGATGAACTTTCATTATTGTTATTATTGTTGATCTTTTTAAAAAAAAAAAATAGAAGTTTTTGCTTTAGAGCACATGCGCTTGCCAAAAAAGAGACAGAGACGATGAGAGAGAAAGTGAGCAATCACCCCCCAGGGAGGATGGCTGTGCTGCAATCCCTGTCTCCTCCATTCTCCTCCTGGAATCTTGGACATGCATGCACACCCACCTGGTGTGAGTTTTGAAGCCACTGGGTCTGGGACTCGAACCATGGTCGGCCCTGTGGGAGTCTAGCAACGTAATCACTATGCCATCTACTGGCCCCAGTTGATCTTTGTTTTTAAAGATTTAATTTTATTCATCATTATTTTTAAATTTGCTACAGGCCACATATGTGTGCACATGTGTGCTCAGCAGAGAGAGACAGAGACAGAGATAAAGTGAGAAAGCAAGCTGCCACGTCTGAGACTTGAACTGTGGTGGACCAAGTAGGAATCTAGCGCCTCAACCACCACACCATTGTTGATCTTTCACCAGGGAGCTCCTGGTCACTCGCCTGATGCCACCCAGAAAGTCCTTCTAACCAAAGCCCTTCCAGCCTCCGCCCCACCCCCAAGGCCCCTCAGTCTGAGAAGGCTGTGCTAATGAAGCTGAACTC